TAATGGCACTTCTTATCTCCCTCTTCATCTCAAATTTTTATTTTCATAACTTGAACAATTTTCTCAATATTTGATCACTGTAATTATTTCGACTCCTTTACTGTTCATTTCAAAATGATATAAAAACTTGAGCTTACATTTATGTCAAACTCAGTGTTGATGATAACTAACTAACTGATCTACTATTAGCTATCCCTCACTGCTATTCAAGTTAGTACTAAAATAATTGACGCAAAAATTAGTTACCAATCTAATGAACATATACATCAGGTTAATGCATTTTGAAGTAAATAACTGGATAACAACCAAGAAATATCATGTATAAGAATGGTAATTGATAGGAGTACCTGTTTTTAACTGATTCATTATCACTAAATTGGTTACAACTGTCATTGTAAATCAATGTTGAATCACAATAGACCTACTGTAAGATATCAGTCCACTATGAATTGTATATTCCCATCAAATAAACTTATAGGATATCAGAAGGGGTCTTGAGGAGATTGTAGTAATTTAATAGTTGATATCATGAGTCAATTAAAGCTAGACCACCATGGAAAACCTGGAAGCACTGGATGGCTTATTGTAGTACTCCTCAGCAGTGAATATCCACGACCTCCCCTCACGGGATTTGAATCCAGGACTTGTCAGTCTCGCGCGCGAGCGCTTAACCACTAGATTTGCACGGCTGAGTAGTCCCACAATAGGACAAAACGGTCGTCCAGTGCTTCCAGGTTTTCCATGGTGGTCTAGCTTTAACTGACTCATGATAGGATATCATTTAAAATGATAAGTCAATTAATAAGAATAGGGTAAAATGTTTAAAACCTTTCCACAGAGAATTAAACGTTGATTGTTTATTTCGAAAAATTTTTATCTACTAAACAATTTCCAATAGATGGTGATTTTCATCATTGACTGATCTTAATTAAACCAAAGTCCAGTGATCAGTTATGTTACCCGATTAATTAACTTTAAAAGGTGAGTTTTCCGAAGTTCCAAAGGAGAAAAAACTAATTTGTGGAGTCAAAGAAATTTGGATTGAACTCGTTACTTAAAAATATCACAGAATGAATTTGAGAAAGTAAACTATTAGATTTTGATTCAATGTCTTGAACATTATGACACCTAAAAAAAGTTTTATAGTCCAATTGTATAAAGTGGTAGTTTAACACTTCTGACTGGTAATCTTATACTAAATTCAAGCAGTTATCCAAGATTATTTTGACCTTCATTGATTCTATACTCACTGTCTAGCTGTCATAAGCATTATTTCCGATCATACCACCTCTTTAATAATTAATTTTATTTAAACTGTAGCACAATCTATGCATATACTAATGAACCATTAGTTTAAGCTTTAATAAACACTGTGTTTTGTCAAAAATGGCAAATGAGTGAGATTGAAATGTTGATCTTTACGGATTATGATAGCATGTTTAATTGATAAGTATGTCATGTGTTTTAGTTATTATTATCATAATTGCGTTCAACTGATTGCGGAATACTAAAAAAATCAATTCTATAAACTGTTAAATAATAACTAGTGTCAACTATGAAAATATAATTTAATGCATTTTTGTGTAACACAAAAATTCGAATATCGTTTTTGGCAAAGATAGATGATAGTTAACAGTGAAATCCAGGACAAGTGTTCGACCGTATTCAGGAGCCGTCAGCTGGATGTACCTGCATCCTAGAGTTAGTGTTAACTCCGGAACTCGAATCCAGTACCATTCGCTTTAAACGCGACCGCGCTATCCACTTAGCTACTGAGTCGTAATAGTCATTTGCTTGTGCAACGAGGTTAAGTTTAAATTCATTTGGTATTGTTAGCTTGAATCTTCCCATTGATGTTTAGGACTGTGACTGATCAGTTTCTCCAGCTGACGAGTCTCAAGAAGAACAAGACGCGCGTCCTGGATTCCACTATTAACCACTATCCATCTCTGCTTATAATGTTTGTGACTTAAAGCGATATCGAGGCAATACACACAGGATGTATATATGCCAATAAGAGACGGTTCAGTTGAAATCCTAAACATCAATTGGAAGATTCAAACATACAATACCAAATGAATTTGAATATCGTTTTGTTAGTTGAACATCTAGCTGCTTTGGTACTATCTGTTGTGTCTAATTAAATGAGGATAATCAGGATAATCATGGATTCACTTTAGGTAGACAACCAGTTTGCAGCCTATGACAGTATCTTGAAAACGTTTTTGAGAGTTAAGGGTGAAAATACTTCATCAAATCATCATTTGTTATAAACTTTCCAGAACGTTTAAATTAACGATGAACAATGTGTTAAATCTTGATCGAACAATTACCGATTTTATTACTGATTTTTTAGTAATTCCAGAAAGTTCTAAAATATTTAGGCCACACGTAAACCTATAAATATTCTTGTCTCCTATCCCTAAAATAATATTGGAAGCAAGGCATATTTTTTATATTTCCCACACTTTGTCTTCTGTATAGAACTGTAGTATGGAAGATTTCTGAGAAACGGAGAAGCAGTTAGACCAGTGTCATGTGTTTAAGTACGAGATGTGGCACTACATTTGAAAACCATGTGGCATTCAACATTCGTTTCATCCTAATATAAAACTCCAAATGATTAAGCTCACGCTCACTAATAATTCTAGGAGCTCGAATATCGATTCTTGATGGAGAGTTGTTATTATCCACTCCTGTTCAGTGTTCTCTCTCTCTCTCTATATATATATATATATATATATACTAATTTCGGAATGAAAAATCTCCGAGAACCTTCAATGCTAAAATCTAAATGAATATGTGGTTTGAACAGTCGATATTCCTAAATTATATTCACGAAAATCTTGACAATTTACTTATTTAGATAAATAATTTTTGACTGTCACTAAGATTGAATATTATTATTATTTGAACGCATAAACATTGGTACAAGTGTGAACGAAAAAATGTATACTCCACAATAAAAATGAGGTAATAAAGAGATCGAAAGAGGAAGGTGAAGACAATAAAAAGGAGCAAAAATGAATGAAAATTATTATGAAGAAAAAAGAAAGTTGCAGCAAAAGCGCCACTGGCTTCTATTCTGAGCTATATCAGATAAAATCTCAAGCCACTGTCTCGCATTACCTCTAGGATCCCAACCAAGGAGCCATGAAGGACTAACAGCTTTCCTTCATACCATGACACCATGTCATACGCTGACCACCCCTCAACGTTTTACAACTGGTCCCAGCGTCAGCAAATAATGCACAACGTGGAATTCACTGACACAATGTTCGTAAAACATGCCCAAGCCACCGAAGTCGATATTTCAAGATAGTGACACCAATTGAATTATCGTCTCTGTGCCCGAACACAAGATATCGAAACTCATCATTATTAATATAATGTTGCCACTTAATGTCAACAATCCTTCAGAGACAACGATGATCAAACACAGAGAGTCGTCTAACATCCTCAACTCGGAGAGGCCAGATTTCCCAAGCATAGATGAGAACTGCTCTCACCGACGCGTTGTAGATCCGACCCTTTACAGTCAAAATAACATTACTAAGAAGCGAAAATGACCAGATTGACATAAGCCGCTCTAGCTTTCAATATATGTGAATTGATTTCATCACTCACGCCACCACCAGTACTTATGCAGCTACCCAGATACACGAACTGCTCAACTACTTCTCTCTGCTCACTTTAAGGAGTGACTGCATGTTCGTGGTCCTGCCGGTCTCATAGAAGCACTTTGTACTTGGAAGGTACAAAACACATTCCATGCCTATGGGCATTGATTGCTAACTGGTTAAGTGCGCATTTCATGAGTTGGGTATCATCGCACAGTAAGACAATATCATCCGCATACTCAAGGTCGAGAAGTCTTTTTCCAGGTAACAGATCCACACCGTCATTGCTTACATCCACCAGAGCTGTTTCCAGAATGTCATAGACGGTAAAGTTGAAGAGGAATGGTGAGATTGGACAACCCTGTCTGACCCCAGTACTTGAATGGAATAGTGGAGAAAGGTGGTTGTATGTCCTCACTCTGCCTGAGGTGTTTGTGTATAGGACTTTTAGGGTGTTAACAAACTTCTCAGGCACACCCTTTTTCAATAGACAATCCCAGAGAACAGTCCAAGTTAGAGATCCATGAGGAGGATGCCAAGTAACACATTAGTGATAACTGTGCCGATAATTAGTGCAAGCCATAAACAGGATGTGGACTGCTCACAGTTTCAGTGGATAGTCACCGTCATCTGAGCTGTGCATTAAACTCTTTGGTTAGTACTATAATATCTGTCGAACGCACTTTCCGTAGAACAGTTAACTGGTGGTAAAACTCATCCTTGATCGCATCTGGGCTGCAGTGTGTCGGAGTGTAGACGGGGATAATGGAAAGACATCGTTTCTCACACCTAATTCTTCTTACTTTGATGGGATTCTCTAATCTAACTGCACATAACCAGCTGTTAATAGGGATCCGATCGATCAGTGCTGCCTCAGCTCTAGTGCTTAGAGCGACACCAACTCCAGAAAAACCAGACAAAAATGCCACAGGGTCCCCAGATAAATGAACGGAAACAAGCTTTTCAAAGCAAAAGATGGAAAGAGAATCCGCAATACTTCACTTAACTCTTGAATACGGGTCTCGGATGGATAACATTCATCGATATTAAGACTTTCTAAAAGACAACCAACCCTATGTGTTGTCCAATCTGTATTTGTGTGTGAACGTTGAAGGAGGTCAGTTTGAATAGAATACGTGGGTTTAGAAAGGCTGATTCACAATCCGTATTCGGTGGTAGCATTCAAATTTCGATCATTCAGTAACTTGAGATCGTTTAGATTAGACAGGTTTTCTACCGTAAGCGAGCTACTGTAGGAGTTGAAGAATAAGTGAATATAAAAAGTGGGGATAAAAGAGAATAAACAAGTGACTCAATGTAAAATAAAAATGAGTATTAACAAATAATTTTGAGTATGATTTGCGAGAATCGGAATTAAAACATGAATAGATTTTTTAATTATGTATGTGAACCAGGAAACTACCCGGGAGCTCAAGCCGAGCCTTTGACCTAAAGATCCAATCCGCAATGCAGTGAACTGACGTTAGGAGATTCAGTCCCATGGTAGCTAGTGACCAACAATAAGTTCATACACCACACTAGAGCGGTTCCAATGGGAGAGAGGACTCTCCTCACCCTCGATCGTATACATTGGTGCAGAGGAATAAGTAAGTTTCTCGACTTCAAACACTTTAAGTTAATCTTTAAGACTTTAGTGTCTGTTTAAATCTTTTTACAAAGTATACCTACAGCGGCGCTAAAGACATTCATTTCAGATCATTCTATATCATAAAATAATGGGTGAAGTTAGAAATGTGGGCGATTACAGTACATATCACTGGCTCACTGGCATCATGCTCACAGCACAAATTACAAAGATTTTAGTTACAATCTCACAGGAAGTCTTGAGACTGAACGATTGAATGTTGTTGATTTTTGTACAACTATGTACCAACTTCAGAATCATTAACTTTGATGTATGTATCATCAATTTCTTTCACTTAATACGATTTAAACATATAATTTTTAGACATTAAACTATCAATTTAAGACCACTACTCTATTATCACAGTTTGATCAGACAAATAGTATCATTTAATCTTATAACAGTGTATAGATTGATAAATCTAGATCAGAATTTGCAGAGATGTTTTCACATAAACAACAACCTACAAATTTTTCAGAAGGGGCTTTTGTAGATATTATAGTTATTTCAATAGTTGAGATCATGAGCCAATTAAAACTAGAACACTATGGAAAACCTGGAAGCACTGGACAGCCGTTTCGTCCCAGTATGGGACTCATCAGCAGTTCGCATTCACGATGCCGTCCCGCAAGATTCGAATTCAACTATAAAATTACCAAAATCTCCACAAAACCCTTTCTGATAATAATTATCGTATGCTCACTAGTTCTAGTGAGTTCTAGTTAGAAGTACTGACCAGTGGAGTTCAACCGGGTCAGTTGTGAGATTGTAACTCACTGAAGACAATGGTGGATGTGTCACTCAATTTCGTGGATCAATTGAAGTTAGACATTAACACCGTTTAGAGATTAAGCGTTCGTGCACGAGACTGATAGGTCCTGGGTTCGAATCTCGTGAGGCGGGATCGTGGATGCGTACTGCTAAGGAGTCCCACAATAGGACGGAACGGCCGTTCAGTGTTTTTACGTTTTCCATGGTGGTCTAATTTCAATTGACTCATGAATTCAACTACAGAAGTACTTACTATATGGTTCTCAGATTTTACTAAGATGTTCTGTAATTTTCACTACAAAATCAGTAATTTAATTATTCAAGATTATGTCTATTAAAAAGAATTAATTTTGTACACTTGATACATTGTAATACTCAAATCAATAGGCTACTTATTATAGAAAGAACCAGTGATCAACTGACTGATTATTCTTTATGAATCATTTAACCAATGTACAATGTCCAAAATGTAAACATAATTAGTAATTATTTCAAGTATAGATAATTATGGTGTGACTATTGTCAAAGGTTAGTTATTAGTTAACCAGATTAATTCCTGGATAAGTTTCAGTTTACTGAAATACTAAAAATAAAATATTTATTCATTATGATAAATACTTGGTTATTAAACTAGTAAACAGCACAACATGACAAATCTCTCTTAGAGAACTAGTATAGAAATTAAATTCACTTGATATTGTTTTGCTTGTATCTTCCCATTAAGTTTTTAAGACTGTAATTGATCAATTTGTTATTGGTATATGTGCATACTGTGCGTATGCCTCTATATTGCCTTCATTCACAAGCTTTTATAAACAAAGATGGATGGTGGCTGACGAGTCCAAAATAGGACGAAACGCGCGTCCTGAGTTCCACTGCTAGCCACTATCCATCTTTGCTTATAAAAGCTTGTGAATGAAAGCAATATAGAGGCATACGCACAGTATGCACATATGCCAATAACAGACTGATCAATTGCAGTCTTAAAAACTCAATGGGAAGATACAAGCAAAACAATACCAAGTGAATTAAACTTCACCCCATTGCACAAGCAAGTGGCTATCACGACTCCGTAGCTGATTGGATAACGCGATGGTGTTTGAAGCGAACGGTACTGGGTTGGAGTTCCAGAGTGAACATCAGCTCTGAGATGCAGGTACATCCAGCTAACGAGTTCCAAATAGGACGAAACGCGCGTCCTGGATTCCACTGCTAGCCACTATCCATCTTTGCTTATAATAGTACAGAAATTAGTTCTAAACATCTTGCTATAAGGATATGACTGCTAAGTCCTGTATAATGATTAACTAAACTTTCCTGACTGACCAACCGTCAAGTATTTTTTTTATCAATTTTTACATTTTTTCTATAGAAATCTACTATCTCAAAGATAGTCATGTTCTTGTAAATGCCTTTATTTTCTGTATATTATATAACCTTCGAAGTAAAACTTGTCTCCTATTTTCCATTCCGGGTTCAACTATGAAATGATTCGAATTACAGTATCCTTTTATTATCCTTAAACCGGTGGATTTCGACTCAGTGTTTTTTATAGCTAAGTATTTCCCATGAGATTTGTAGGTTTTATGTTCAGTTCCCAATGAGGATTTCTATACTAGGATCAAACAACTGTTCAGTGGTTCCTGTTATTCAGATGTACATCAATTAAACATAGTCTGTGACAAATACAACCTATAAAGGGAATAAATTTCCATGGAAAACTTTCAACTATCCTGGGATATCTGTATAGGATTGTGGAGATTATTATGTTTCTGATTGAAATCATGAACCGATTGATGTTAGACCACCATTGAAAACGCGGAAGCACTGGACAGTCGTTTCGTCCTATAGTGGGACTCCTCAGCAGTGCTCACCCACGATTCCGCCTCACGAGATTCGAACTAGGGGCCTTCGGTTTTGCGCACGAATACTTAATCTCTAGACCACTGGGCCGACATCCAATGATGTTAATGTGTAACTTTAAGCAATCCACGAAATTGCGCGACCATCTTCCGTTGTACTGAGGTAGATACCAATCTCTACCCGACATGGATTAGCTCCATGGCTCACGGCCTCTCACTAGAACTTCGAGAATTCCCTCACTGGACGTCCATGGACAGGACTGTAGATGCACACTGCTGAGGAATCCCACTATTGGATAAAATGGCCGCCCAATGCTTCCAGGTTTTCAATGTTGGTCTAACATCAATCGGTTCATGATCTCAATCAATATACTGGGATATGTCATTATATATTAAAATTATATTTAAAATAATCTCGGCAATTGAAATTTAAAATCATTCCAACGTTTTGTCCAGTTAACTTGTCTGGACTTCTTCAGGGTAATAATCATAATCGAAATCATCAAAGAAATATATAGCGTTTTAAGAATCAAAACATATCAAATCTATACTGTGCTAATCCAACCATATTTGGTTGTTGGTTTTTAGTAAATGGGATAACACAAGTGAGTTAAATGAGAATCATGTGAAAAGTTCACGACGTGAAAATAAATGACTGAAACGAATTGTGTGTGTGTGTGTGTGTTTATGTATGTATGTGTAAGACCGAGTTATTAATGCTTGATATTCGGTGTTAATATGTTTTTATCTGAAGGAATAAATAAAATAAAATAAAAGTGCAAGTTGAAGGTTGAAAATTGTTTCCGAATCATTGTGAATCATGAGAATCATCAAGTACATAATTGTGTATTGCTAAAAATAATCCACATTACATTCGAAATAAACAGGTTGGATAAAGAATGGGTCCAATTACTTGTTAACGAATATTTACCATAATAATAATAATAATACATTCTGAAAATAATAATTACAGAATTCATGCCAGTTTACAGCCATGACCATTTTGATATAAATAGTAACATTAGATATAAAGAACAAACATGTGATATAAGGTAGTTGAATACCATCCTTTCGGTTTAGGCTGTTCTTGTTCGCCCATATATACCGCGCTTCTGCTGTCAATCTTTCTTTATGAGTGTTAAATCTTTTCTGAAGTATCTTGGTCCCTTCAAAATTGATCTAGTGTTCTGTTTCCAACGTATGTAACGCTATCGCTAACTTATTCTCAAGTTTCTTTAGGTCAACTGAGGATTTAGGAACAGTTTTCAAACACTGTGTCACATGCCCGAAAATACACTCGTACATCATGCTTGCTTAGAATCCGCTCGATTTCTTCCGATGTTCCACTACCGTATAGGATGACCGCGGTGGACTTCCAATGTTTCGGTATACATTCTAGTTTAGTTTTTCTTTCATTTCTAATAATCTTCTTTAAAAACTGTTTGGTGTAGTTGTTATCCCTAAGTGTAAATAAAACTCTATTTAATTCAACCTGCTAGTTTTCCTTATCTGTAACGAGATCAATACTTCCGTTAATTAAATTTTTACAACTGTGTTGATTTCCTGAATACATTTATTTTCAACTTCTTATGATTGTTTCGTTCAACCAAATAATCGAGAAACGCTAGTTTGTAGTCAACGGATCCTACATCCTTCGTTGGCTTAATGCTTTCCGAAATGTTGTTTACATTTTCAAACAATTCTTCTAAGCCATCCCGTTTAATGATGATAAAAATGCCATCTACATACCATAACCAGACCTTTGGTGGACATACACATCATGTGATTGCACTGCTTCCTAGGGAATGCATAAATAAATTCACTACAATCGGAGAAACTGTCGAACCCATTGTTATACCTTCTTTCTGTCTGTAAAGGTCTCCTCGAAGTGTTAGTAAGGTAGATTGTAAACACAATTCCAAACATTTGATGACTTCAGATGGATCTAATAGGCATCGTAAATTCATATCTGAGTCAGATTGTAAACAATCATAAATAATATCCAACGCTCTATTGACAGGTACATTAGTGAATGAGGAAGATGCAACAAAACTTGCCAATATTTCATCCTCTTCTATATCGATGGCATCGATAATATTCTTGGATTCCATAGAGTTTTTAATTTTATGATTATTCAGTTTGTCATACGGTTTAAGTATCTTAGCTAAATATTTCGCTAGATTGTACGTCGGTGGATTTGCAAAATCAACCATTGATCCTAGTGGGGTATTAATCTTGTAAATCTTTGGAAGTTCATAGGATCTACACGGGTTACAACTATTTGGATATAATATGAACCATAATGATGATCCTAGTTTAACGTTTAACGACTGTAATATTTTACTGGTTTCAGCTTTAAGTTTATTAAGCGCCGTTCTATATTTCGCTTCTTTAATTAGTTGTAGATGTTCCCTGGCTTTTTTGTCGTAGTCCGATTTGTTCATAATAACTGTCGTGTTCCCTTCACCTGCTCTCGTAATGATAATTATCTTATCATTTCTCAGCTGTTTTAATGCATATAATTCATTTTTAGTTATGTTAGAATTATGTGGTTTCTGATATACTGGGATATGCTTAACCTCAGATTGATATTAATTAGAATATTACTGAAGATTAGGAAGTAGTTGAGTAGTTGTTTAGAATTAGTTTAGGAATCTTCAGTAACAAGCACCTATAACCCTACACGTGATATTGGATACGGGGCATTTATGTTTGACAGTAACCATATTATTTGTAGACTATTGAGTTGAGATTCAGTGTTTAAATTTCCATCACTTGAGATTTCGTTAAATATCATGATATTCATCAATCATAATCGATGGTACCTTATTTACTTCTAACTTCACTAAACTCTAGCTGCTACAATTTCTTAATGACATTTTGGAAATCCATTTCGAAGCTACTAATTTGCAGAGATTAGAGTAGTATGAAGACAGTTTTTGTTCACAATCGACATTAACCAGATAGTTATAAAAAATAATGAGATTTTATCTTGGAACAACCGTATAACTGGATGATTGTGTAGTAATATCACGAATAAATTAATTTGAGGGAATATTTTACGAAATGATAATTAAATATCAGAAGGGGTTTTGTGGAGATTGTAGAAATTTCACTAGTGGAGATCATGAGTCAATTGAAGCTAGACCACCATGAAAAACCTGGAAGCACTGGATGGCCATTTTGTCCTATTGTGTGACTCCTCAACAGTACGCATCCACGATCCCGCCCCACGGGATTCGAACCCAGGACCTATCAGTCTCGCGCGCGAGCGCTTACCATCTAGACCACTGAGTTGACATCCAATGGTGTTAATGTCCAACTCCAACTAATCCACGAAATTGAGTGACACATCCACCATTGTCTTCAGTGAGTTACAATGTCACAACGGATCCGGTTGGACTCCATTGGTCACTGCTTCTCGCCAGGCGCTAGACTGATAGGTCCTGGGTTCGAATCCCGTGAGGCGGGGTCGCAAATGCTCATTACTGATGAGTCCCACAATAGGACGAAACAGCCGTTCAGTGCTTCCAGGTTTTCCATGGTGGTCTAGCTTCAATTGACTCATGATCTCAACTATTGACAATTAAATATTTTAAAGAATGTATTATCGTCAAGATCTTGAGGTTATGTTTATGTGTGTGTGTGTGCGCTAATGAATAGTGGTTCGGAACTTTGAACAAATTAGATATCCAGTGTTACATGATTTTCAATAGTTTGAGTCAAAACTGTTTTCAAATTGTCTATTGTCCTACCTTGATTAACTTCAATATACAATGATTTTATAGCTCTTCATATAAATGTTTCATTTTAGTTTTCAATATTTTATTATACAGACGATGTCCAGAATTGTTCTTCTTCTAGCGCATACACGTAAACAATTAAATCATAATGATATAAAATGTAAACAAGAAAATCAATATAATTTGTCTGATAATTTTCAACAATTATCTAATCCTTTGTGGTTAGAAGAAAATAAACTTTCTGATTCATCCAATTTTAATGATAATTTTCAAGCTGTAAATGATCTAAATGAATTGAAATCTCATATCAATCATTCAATAGTAGATGTTTCCAATATTGACAGAAAACAAATAAGGTATTCATAAAATTTGTTTCATATATGTATTTGTTTAATTTGTTCAAATAATTACAAGAACTAAACAATAACACATCAGATCATCAATGAAACTCAGGAGAACAGTCCATAAAATTTATGAGATATTGAAGTCTGATTACACAAATATAGCATAGACTGATAGGATCTTTTCTTGATGATTCAATAGCCTCAGTTATATTCACGAACTCTATAAGAACGATTGAAGGTCAGGACCACCGTATACTTCTTGTGTTGATGAGAATATAAGCGTGTCACGTTTTATTTGTCTATTTTGATTGATGATAAACGAAATTCTATGAAACCATATGAGTACTTAACTCTAGTAAAGGACTTAGAGAGACAATAGAACATGGTACGACAAAACGGTTGAAGACTTAGATTTGTAAGGACTACCACGGATATTTCATGTGATAAAGAAAGAAGTACGTGTTGTGCCACAAACAGAGAGTATTTTGATGGCAAAAAGGATTGATGTTCCGTAGATTTTGTAAAATGAAGTCATTATGATCTTCGATCACATACTGATTGGGGATAAAAATATGTGAATTTTGCGAGTTTGTCAATTATTCGTATTGTTAAGAATCCCTTCGTATTGGAGAAGATACTTGCTTACAAGTAATATGAATATATGTCTGCGAAATTTGATTAAAAGGATAGTTGGAATCTTTTTTAAATAAATAAACTTTTAAACAACGAAATATACCGGAGGTTTTGACTAATCACTAACAGTAGTCAAGGTGCCCCAAGCACTCCTCAGCAAGACTTATCTAAAATCGTGACGGAATTGACACATCTCATTGGATTTGAACTCACATCGTTCGCTGTCATTGTCAGACTCGTCACAAATGAACTGATTGTACCATATTCCAACGTACTCTACGGAAATTATTCACTGTTGGGGATTAAGTATGAAACTAGTTACTACTTAACGACAGATTAGTGTAGATAGATTATCAAACTACGTAAACTATAGCTGCACATCATTCTTATTAATATGAAGATTTTTCAGAGTCAAAGTAATCCATATATTAGACAAACAGTCGGACTTCCTTTTATCAATGTTAATTAGCTTTATGTCCCAAAGATGACTACATTTTTTCAGATTTTCTGAAACTGAAATCGACATTTCATAATTATAGAAGACTATTTACAAATAATTCATATGATGTATTATTAAAGTTTATATTACTTCAATTGTTTACATATTTCAAAATAGTTTAGTTAATAAACAGTATGGTACCTGTGCATTAATAAACTTTTCTGCGAAAACAATCAAATTCTTTGATCATTGCTTCTTGTTCTATTGAAGTACGAATTAAATAAGCTGCTTTTCATCAGCTTTACACACATCTACAAGTATATAACTTTTTGGGATGATTAACATAGTAGATTATTAGTAACTCATAATATGGCTGCTTTATGACAGAATATGCGGATTGTGAGGATCCAAGATATTTAGTTCATCATATATGTGATACATCAGCTGAATGTGCATGCATTTCAGTGTTGAAGTTCATATTATGTCTGATTGCTAGCTTAAGTGTATCTATTAACATTATACATTTTTGTCTGAGATTGAACACAAATAAACATATAAGATAATAGAACTTGTATTACTCTAATAATTGTCCAATAACTTTTATGATCGAACTTTAACAGATCTGGATATTGAAACCATTAAGTTCAGTACACTAATTCACTAACTTCCCATTTTTAATTCTATGTCATTATGTAATTATTTGATCTATTCTGTTTTTATAGATATTTTCTATTTATTTTGAAAGTTATTCACATCAAGAAATGATATTACCTAGGAAACTATTGAAAATGAAACATTTCTGAGTATTTACTTCATACCTGTTTAAAATCACGAATTAGCAGTACACATCCAAGACGCCATCAGGGATAAAACCTAAAATCTTTAGATCTCAGAGTTCTAATGTGAACTTTGACCAGTACAGTTCAACCATGGAAGGCGTGCGATAAATAACACGTATGTAAATTAATGGTGGTAACTCAATGGCTCGAATTGACTAAAGTTGTAAATGGCAACCACTGGGTGGTAACTCGATAGTCCAAAAGTTACGAGCACGGAGAAAAGCCTAAAAGTCTCGAATATCTCATACTAAGATGAAACAGCTATCTTATATTTCCTGTTTCTCAATAGGTTGTCGGACTTCTGTGTTGCGTCTTTCGGTTTGCATAAAACAGAACAAACTGGTTACGTCGGCTTATGAATGAGATTGATCCCATATGGTTTCAAAACTTATTATAATTTCGGAAGCATTTAGCATAACTGATAGGAAGACTTGTGTTCTTTATTTTCGAGGAGAAATTTCAGGATGTGAAATCAATTTTTCAGATACCTTTTGATGAAATTACAGATGTAATCATACAAAATATTACAAGAAAGCTACTTACATACACTGACTTATCATTAAGCAGTGGCCAACGTCATATTTGCCTAGTTACCTAAATGCTAATTGAATTCTAACAATCAAGTTACAATGTGGCCACTAGTTTCACTGACTTGACATCTCACGTAATATGTACTGATATATTAGGTGGTTAGAGCAAGTCAGAAGGGAACCCGGTACGTTACTTTTTTATTGTCTAAATAGCTCAGTTGTAATGTCTCCGACTGTGAAACTAGATAATCTAGGTCTATATCAACCTAGGTACATCATTTTCTTTAAGATTTTAGATATATATCACTGATAAATGCCAATGAACACAAAATCTATGTATAAGATTTCCTGTCAAACATTTCCGAACACTTAACAACACACCATTTACATTACTGTTCAAAAATGATATAATAAAAGAACTTTTCTCTTTATTCGTTTTACGAATAATAAATTTTACTTTTAGTGTATTGTTAATATTTTTTTAATATACATTTAGCGGTCATTTCAAAATGTTATATTTACGTTTTAGAATCTCAGAGACTTTCTACCCAGTTAATGTAAATGGACTTTTTATTTGGAATTTACATATTAACAATAAATTAAATGAAATTATAATATGTAAGTAGTATATCATTAAATATTTAGTATAACCTTATAGCTTAGAATTAGTAGTAGTGTGAGTCGTAGTATTAGTATTAGTAGTAGTAGTATGGTGTGTGCCGCTTATATCGACACAAGTAGTATATGACGTTAGTCGTGAACAGAATGTCTGGCAGCAGAGAAACAAGAGGATAGAACTGTAAAGAATGAAAACGGAATGCAATTTTTATGCAAATGCACGAACAATGAAATCGGAGTCATTTTCAGACAATCGATGGACATTTTGCAAATTAAGCATTTACTATATGATAGATTTTATTAACAAGTTCTGTAATTTGTTGTCAAATACATTCGATTGTCCCCACCCATGTTCTGTTCACTACAGTAGTAATAGTGTGGTCTGTGCTACTTATGTCGACAGACGTAAGTAGTATATAACACTGACCAAAAAAATGGAATGCTTGGCAACAGAAGGTTGGGAAGGTCGAATCAAAATGAACGGGAACAGTAAGTGTTTGTTAGGGCAATGAAGTAACAACGAAGTTTAAGACAATTGATAGATGTTCCAATGAAGTAATGAACGTACGGTTTTTACATTTTACGAAAGAACTCTGTAATTTTGTAATAGAATATTTTGGTTGTCCCCACCCGTGTTATTGTTCATTACAGTAATGGTAGTCAAACATACATTTTAGTTTTGAAAAAAAATTTAAAGAGTTCAATTGTTAATAAGAGAACAACTTTTGTTTAAAGTAACTTTTGTTTTACTTTGTTTACACAGGTCCTGAAACATATCAGATATGGTTGAATAATCAAAAGATTAAAAATATCAAAGTTAGTCTGTTTCATTAAACTTTAAAATAGAATGGAATAATTTAACATGATTAAGAAGAGTATATTTTGATATTAGATGTATGAAGACAAACAAAACTAAATTCCATCCAATTCTAAATTTGTATTTCTAGGCATTTATTTTAAAACATATCAGTCACATTAATGTAAAACATTCTCCTCTATTGTAAGTATTCAGTTTATTACAATAACTTCAAATAAATAACTTGCTATTAAAAAATCAGATGAACTACAGACATGAATTAAGTGATGAGTAGTCCTAGAAGTAAATGACTAAGTTTAAATGCTAATGAGAACATAGGGTTAGAGTATAATTGATTTGGTAGGTAGTTTTTTTTTTATAAGCCTTCAATTTCCTCCAATAGTCAATTCATTAAATCAATAAATTCTGTGCTGGATAAATGACTTTAAGTAACCTATTACATCCTTTCTACTAATACGTATAAATCACTAGAATTAATATTACGTAATATATACTAATGAAAATAGTCATATTAGGAAACCAGAGGTACTAGACTCTATATAATTTTCTAACATTTTTCTAAAAAAAAAGGTATGACTAAACACACAATATATATTCAAATGACGTAATTTGTTTAAGATGTGATACAATGTAATTATTACAAATACTCTTAAATAATTTGAATTAACTTGAATTAATAATGATATAAGTCGGAGGGTTATTAAAAGTAAACGTAACGTAAACATATATAATGACTTCTCTATACTCGGCGCCCAATATCTGTCAAACTATTCGTTCGAATCTTGACGAATATTCGTATAAAGTAACGTAAACAGTTGAATTAATTTACTCCATAAGACTCTTGAATATTATCTATCCAATACATTCAGGTATAATGGCTAGAGTAATATTGTTTAGTCATCGATTCAGGATACAATGATTTACATTCCATAACTCCAGACCATTGTAATGTATGGAGTCAACCAAATCATAAAGTTTATACTGATAATTTTGTTCAAAAGTACAGGAAAAGCTCTATAATTGAACTATTTAGATCAAAGAATGAAATGTCACCAATTTGAATTCGAAATATATATGAACCATTAACTTCTAACTGAACAGCTTAAGAATGTTCTACTGACCATGAAACTTGGATGTCTTTGGTTTGATCACAGGGTGAATTTGTAAATATCCAGTAGTAGCGTTCCATAACAACGAAAACAATAATAATTCACCATTTTCTGTTTTTCAAATACTCATCTAATATCACTCGATAAAGTGACTTAACTCCAAAATAACTGAAAAATCTCCAAAATATCATTTTAGCAATGAATTCCCACTCATTTATAAAGTCATAACATGTGGATAACATGAAGTTCATTACATTCTACTTAATTATTAGTTTGTTTTCTATATTAGTCAGTCCAATGTTTAGTACAGATTCAAATTGATTATCCTTTTGTGAAATAAACTGTTAACTGTAATCAAACATATTATATATATATATATATATATATATATATATATATATATATATATATATATATATATATATATATATATAGTATTTACCCTTTATTTCATTCCCTTATTTTTCCTACTGTTTCACTTCTCTCATTTAATTCAATTAGGTATATTTAGATTGTCATAGACAATTACAACGTGGAACATTATTACTTCAATTTGAAATGAACCTTTCAAATGATTCAACTAATAATAAGCATTCATTTCAACAAACAATTAAATGTTTTAATTATCAATTTATTATCTCTGCATTTTATTCATCTGAAATTTCTGTAAAACTAGAAGATAAAGAACTTATTTTAGATCTATTACAATTGAAACATATGAAATCATTTATGAATATGTCAATGACCAATTGGACAATTCGTTATATTTATCATATTTAAATTATTACCATGTTGAAGAACCAGTATGTATAATTTAAGTTTATGAATAGTATAACTAATAAACTAATAAATAAAAATAATTCTTAGCATGATTATATTGGGAAATATTTTGTTGTCTAATCTTTTATTACTTATAAGTAGGTAAATTTTAAGAGTATCAGAAGGAGTTTTGTGGAGATTGTAGTAATTTCATTAGTTGAGATCACGAGTCAATCGAAGCTAGACCACCATGAAAAACCTGGAAGCACTGGATGGCCATTTTGTCCTATTGTGTTACTCCTCAGCAGTACGCATCCACGATCCCGCCTCACGCGATTCGAACCCAGGACCTATGGTCTCGAGCGCGAGCGCTTACCATCTAGACCACTGAGTTGACATCCAATGGTGTTCATGTCCAACTCCAACTAATCCACGAAATTGAGTGATACATCCACCCTTGTCTTCAGTGAGTTACTATCTCACAACGGATCCGGTTGAACTCTACTGGTCACTGCTTCTCACTAGAACTTTAGGACAAACATTGTTTTCAGGTCTTTGAAAATACGATATGATTTCAGGATTAATTGTTAATTAGAAGCTAATCTTTATCACTGATTTACATAATCTAAAAAAATGTTAGAAACCAATAATCAGCAGATATTATGGCTCATTTTGAAGCTTTCCAACCATATGTACCCTTAAATTTAGGGAGGTCAAAGAAGGATTTAAGCTTCTCAGCCTTAGCTAAATGTTTGAAATACATTATAACAATAAACTTCTCTATATATTAGCAATTCAGCTGATTAGTGGTACAGCAAAACTATCATCCATTATCATTTGTAGGAATATGTGGTGATTTTAGTAAATTACGAACATTTTGTACATGACTAACCGCTCTGTTCTTAATTCAGTACATTACATTAATGTGAGTCATTTCCTGTCTTTATGATCTCGTTTATTCATAACTACTAGAATACAGTTTTTACAAATCTGGAAAATCTTATTTTGTTAATTATATAGGATACTAACAGTTTTTATAGCATTCTTCTAACTTTCAAAATAAAATGTTTTTCAGTTCTTGCCTCTGTCCAAATTCAATAAATCACTAATGGGTAACTTGATCACTGATGAACTTCATGGAGCTCTAGTGAGAAACTGTGACATTCAAGATCAGCTAATCAGAAATTTAGGTGGATGCTCACCTTTTGATAGGAAATAATGATCACAAAAAAGTGTAAATTAACTGAATTTTCATTATGTTTAATATTGAATATCATGTTAGCTACAGGATCGTATTATTATATGTTCAATCCCATGATCTATTAATGACTGTTTACTTATAATCAACATTAAAATTGAATAAAACAAATGCTCAGATCCTACTAATTTCCAATGTTCATTCAGTTAGTTTTAATTATCATTGTTAGTATAACTGAAAGTAACAACACATTAATATATAAGACATTAAAAAAATGTTATTACTAATGTGATGAAATGAAGTCGTCTAGTCATTTATAACTACATATTGGTAGAAACTTTCGAAATGACACCCGTTTGAAATACAACATACGAAATGGTGTACGCTAGTTATGTCGACTGACATAAATAGTATGTTTCATCAATCAGAAGTGAAATGTATGGCAGCGAAAATCTAAGAAAACAGAAGGGGGAAATAGGAAGGAACTATGAATTGGAAGAATCATACAGAATGTAAAAAACAGTTGGTGGAATATCTGCAAATGAAATATTTTATGTATGATTCTTATATTTTACCAAGATACTCTGTAATTTTGTGTTAAAATACGTTTCTTGTCCCTACCTGTGTTGGAGCAAGTTGATTGGCTATTTTCTAACTAATCAGCGCTAGTAAATACTTGGAAAAGACTCTAGAATCTTCTCATGTAAAAACTATAAATATGCTAGCGTTTTTTGTTATTGTGCTTCCTACTTCCATACACTGAGGAATTGAAATTTATTGAATAGATGAAATTAAGATATGCCATTAAAAGTTGTACAGTTGTTCCAAGAAAAAAAAGAACAATAGAAGTAATAACATAAATAAATAAATAATCATACTAATTAAATTCACTTTGTAATGTTAGTTTGAATCTTCCCATTGATGTTTAAAACTGCAATTGATCAGTTTCTTATAAGCATATGTGCATATTACACGTATTGCATCGATATTGCCTTAATTCACAAGCATTATAAACAGAGATGAATGATGACTAGCAGTGGAATCCAGGATGCGCATCTCGTCCTATTTGAGACTCTTCGGCTGGATGTATTTGCATCCCAGAGTTGAAGAGAACGGCACTGGGTAGGAGTCCCGGAGTGAACATCAATTCTAGGATGCCATTACATCCAGTTGATGAGTCTCAAATAGGACGAGATGCGCATCCTGGATTCCACTGCTAGTCATCATTCATCTCTGTTTATAATGCTTGTGAATTAAGGCAATATCGATGCAATACGTGTAATATGCACATATGCTTATAAGAAACTGATCAATTGCAGTTTTAAACATCAATGGGAAGATTCAAACTAACATTACAAAGTGAATTTAATTAGTATGATTATTTATTTATTTATGTTATTACTTCTATTGTTCTTTTTTTTCTTGGAACAACTGTACAACTTTTAATGGCATATCTTAATTTCATCTATTCAATAAATTTCAATTCCTCACTGTATAAAATCTATCATAAGTTACCTGGACAACATCAGTAAAAAAGTTTAACTCAGAAAAATTACTAATGTTTATTTTATACCATTTGGGTGTACAAAAGTAGAATTGTTTACACACCTGAGGAATATAAAACTTTTGGTATCGATAGTAATAATAATAATAATAGTATTTTGCATTTTTACATAATTACCAATCCATCTGGTTGTTACTGATTATGAATTCAATGGAGATGGTGATGGTGATGATGATAATGATTCTGCATTTTCATATACGCCACATTTCGTTACCATGATTAAAGAACAATAATAATAATAAGAAGAAGAAACCAAACGTTACCCTGTAGTTAATATCGGCTATTTAATTACTTTAAGCTAATTAGAGATAGAAATAAGAATAAAAATAAATTGACTTCACAATATGTTATTTCATTTAATATATATTTAATTACGAACAAAAATGTAGTGGGCACGAATTTGTGTGTATGTGGGACGGTAAAAGAAAAATTACATGCAATATAAAATTGTCTTCTTATAGAAACACCTGTTTCAAAACACCAACTTTATTATTATCATTACTAGTAGTAGTAGTAGTAGTAGTAGTAGTAGTAGGAGGAGGAGGAGGAGGAGGAGGAGGAAGGTAGGAGGGAGTAGTATTAGTCGTAATATGTGTAACAGTTTGTAACAAGTTTACTCTGACTATAACCGACTATAATCATTACTTTTCATGTTAATCATGGTAGGAAATCGTCGAATATAAAGAAATAGTAAGTAGTAAATATATTAATAAGAATATATATAGCACTTTTTTATTATATATCAATGTCTGAAGATTCTTAAAACAATAGCAACCCTAACAAAATCAATAATAATAATAATAATTCAGTATGCCGAACGAATTATTTAGTTCCCTAATTAATATAAAAATGGCATGAGGAAGAAAACAACTCCGTTTTAATAGTCCAAAAAAACAATGAAAGTAATGGCTACAAAATGAAATCATTAAAGAAACTGAGCAACTTTTTTGTGTTGGGGGAAAAAACATGGAGCTTTGAATGGTAAATAGTTTGTAAAACTATTTCTATAAATGGAAATCATGAAAATAAAATAAAATGTTAAGCAATTATTCGTATACATGTATACGTGTATGTGTATGCATACATAGATACGTACATAAATACGTATTAGTAATGTAAAGGAAATGAACAGAATGAAGAATAATGAATAAATAAAAGGTGTAGGTTATATTCATGAGAGATCCTTGTTCTCAATGAAGGTACCAATGAAGGTCAGGTAGCATTAGGATAGATGTTTTGTCTTTATATAGGAGTCTTAAGTAGTTTGGATTCATGAATTCATCTGAGATCAAACTTAATACTTCTGAATTAGTATACAGTCGTTTGAAATTCAAATTTTAGTCGATTGTCGATGTTACGTAACTATCGAGCAAATAGTTTATTCTTGTCATGGTTGATCTCCACAAATCGTAGATTTTCACTAGAACTGTGAAAATTTAACTCAAAGTTAGTCACTAATTAGAATACAAATAATGCACGACTGGGTTCAGATGCAGACGTAAAGGCGAGGATTGGCAAAGCAAGGACAGCATTTCTTCAATTGACGAACATATGGAACTCAAAACAACTTTCAACCAATATCAAAGTCAGAATCTTCAATACGAACGTCAAGGCAGTTCTACTGTATGGAGCTGAAACTTGGAGAACTACAACAACCACCATCAAGAAGATACAAGTATTTATCAATAGCTGTCTAGGCAAAATACTCAACATCCATTGGCTGGATACCATCAGAAACAGCCTTTTGTGGGAGAGAACCAACCAGAATCCAGCTGAAGAGGAAATTAGGAAAAGACGATGGAAATGGATAGGACATGCGATACGCAAATCATCAAACTGCACCACGAGACAAGCGCTAACTTGGAATTCTGAAGGAAAGCGGAAAAGAGGAAGGCCAAAGAACACATTACGTCGGGAAATAGAAGCGGATATGAAAGGGATGAATAAGAACTGGGAAGAGCTGGAAAGAATTGCCCAGGACAGGGTTGGATGGAGAATGCTGGTGAGCGGCCTATGCTCCTTCACGAGGAGTAACAGGCGTAAGTAAGTAAATAAGTAAGTAAGTAAGTAAGTAAGTAAGTAAGTAAGTAAGTAAGTAAGTAAGTAAGTAAGTAAGTAAGTAAGTAAGTAAGGAAGGAAGGAAGGAAGGAAGCAAGGAAGGAAGCAAGGAAGCAAGGAAGAAAGGAAGCAAGGAAGTAAGTAAGTAAGCAAGCAAGCAAATAAGTAATTAAGTAAGTAACTAAGGGAATAGTTTTTAAGATTAGTTTAAGTTACTGATCATCATTGCTGTCCAATGTACCTTGGTTTTCAGTTGTTCTTTGGTTAATCTTTCTTATTTAACATAAGAAATT